ATTTAACACAGGATGAGAGCATACGCTACAAAAATGCACTGGCTGTTAGGTTATATCACTCGTAAATGAGATATAAAAATCCTGTTAATTTATACGCTACTTTCTACTTCTAAATTTGCACCTACTGGTTGAGATGCAATTGTAATCTCACTGACTTCATCTGTTTCTGATTGACTTGATGTATCAGAGACATCATCTATTTCTTTTCTCTAAATAAAAATAAAATATGTATTATATCGTATTTAATACGGTAATATTAATATTAATAATGACTATTTTAATTTACCTTATGAGAATAGTGAATGTTACGAAATACTCTTTGCATATCGGGATTACTTTCTAACGTGGAGGATTGACTGGACGGAGGATGTGAATATTCGGAAGTATTTTCCTCATCAGAAGCTAATACTCCTTCTATTCGTACCGTTGCATGTTTAAATCTTCTTAATCTACATCCAGGACCAATAGGTCTCCTTGCAATGCTTTAAAATCATAATTCGTTAAATTAATATGAATTACTAATATAAGTTACGAATTAAATGTTTTTATATCTTTTCAGAAAAAAATACCTTCTTCTTCTTAGAGAATAATTATACGTGTAACTTGGATCTTCGCCTTCTTCATCTGACCAACTTTCTTCACATGCATCATCTTCACGATCGCACAAAGTATCCATATTTTCAGAACAAGGCCGAGTTTTAATATCTTGCTCTTGAGAAGTATTATTAACAATAATTCCACAAAAATGTCCAGACAATTTTACAGATTCTTCTTTACCTCTGAAATAAACAATTATCTATTATTTCTAATTGTTATTATATTTATACATGTGAATATATATTAAATATACTTTACCTGTGTTGTATTACATCATCACAATTTCCATTATCTATAGGAGAAATGAGACGATTAGCATTAATAATTTCACTAACTTTTCGACCAAGTGTTTCAAGGTTATCATCATCGCTACAGTCCTTTAAACGTTCATTTCCATTTGCGTGATTTTCATTTGAAGGTTCAGGACTGGAACAAGGACTAGATTGCATTCTATAATGAGCTTCAGATAAAACTGAATTTCCATTTAAACATTCGGATGTTTGTTTAAGTAATGACTGTTTGTTAAGGCTATTTATAGAAAGTTTTTCTGTTGATGAAATTGTTATTGTATGTCCGATAGAACTAAAATCAGTTTCGTTGATATCCATTATGTCTGTTTGTGTTTGATTGTCAACAAAACGCGCACATATTTCTGTACTCTGAAAATAAAGAGATGTATTATATTTTAATTTTATTAAATAATGTTTTCACATTAGATATATACTTTTCTTTCACGATGTGGACTCGATCGTGGGCTAGAATTTACACCACATCCAGATCCTACTCTACGATGCCTATATTTGCGTTGCTTAATACTATTATTAGACGCTAAAACTGTCTCTGGTTGATTAGATTCATTTAGTTGGGTATACATAGTTGCTTTTATAGGAGTTTGTGGACAGTCTGTCGGGGATGGTGGAGTTGTTGGAGTAGATGATGTTGAAAACTGAGGATTACGTCTACGATGAAGTCTTTCTTGAGCTTTTAAAAGAGGATGTACAAGTCGTTTTTTACACTGTTTATATCCACTTTGTTGTTCTCGTCTAAGATAAAAACAAAATAAAATATATTAAAATTAATTATCATTCCAACTCTTTAATTTATTACTTACTTGATTACGTCTCGTTCACGCTGTTCCAATTGCAATAAAACAGCGCTTAATTCTAAATACAAATTATTAGTGCGTTCAAGTTTACGTTCATAATGTTCTCGAATATCTTGAGCATGTCTTAATTCATCCTCACGTCGTCGAATGAGATCAGCTTCAAATCTTGGACTACTACAACTATTTGTCTGCATTTGTTTCATGTGATCTCTGATTTCTTTTTTCCAAGATTGCTGTAATTATAAAAATTATTAAAATCTTTTGATACTTGAGTAGATTTTTTCATCTTTATTTTTGAAGCTTTTCAATTTACCTGCGTCTTAAAGTAATCATCGGGCTTTGTACATAACACTTCAGCTGCTGCAATTCCAAGATGAATTTCAATATGTTTAAATGAAGGTCTATTACGTGGTTTTGCAGCCCAACATTGTTTTACAAGTAACCTATAACCTTCTGGGCAGCTTGCAGGAATTGGTAAATGAAGAGAATTATTGCCCACACCCCAAATTATTGCGGAAGAATCCACATCTTTATAAGGTATTTCTCCACTTAAGAGTTCCCATAATACCACACCATACGACCATATATCTACTTTCTCAGAACAAGGTTCATTTCTGATGATTTCTGGAGCCATCCACGCAACTGTACCAGCAAAACTCATTCTTGTACTAATTTCATTCCATTCTCTACTAGTTCCAAAATCACTAATTTTTACAATTTCTCCTTGTCCTATTAACACACTAAAATCGTAGATAGAATTTAAAAAATAAAGAAATATTGTACTGCTAAAGATAAAGACATTTTTATTTTATTAAAGTAAAAATTTGTAAGTTTAAAATTGTATATGAATTTTATTATATTAAATTTAATAGCATACTTTGGACTTTTGAGATCTCTATGTATGATTTTATGTGCATGAAGATAGGCCATTCCAGCAGCAATTTGTTTTGACCATGATACTAAGCGAGGAGGTGGAACTGGTTCTCCAGCCCTAAGAAGATCATATAATGGCCCATATGGACAAAATTCCATTATTATACAGTAACATGGTGCTTGTGTACAGACACCTCTGAAAATATTTATTATTTATATTTATTATTTATTTTATAGGTGTATATTTTATAGGTGTATATAGGTTTTACTTTTATAGGTGTAATATAATATAATAATATAATAATATAATATAATTAAACTTACTTAAATTGAACAATATTCGGATGATTTAACTTCCGCAAATGCCGTATATCAGTTTCACGCGGCTCTCGTACCTTTTTTACAGCTACAATTTCTTTGTTTAATTTTCCACTAAATACTGCCCCTTGAGCTCCAGAGCCAAGCCATTGAAGTTCACTGATTGATTCAAATGGTATTTCCCAATCATCCGCTAAAATAATTTAATTTTATCTTGTAATCAATATTAAAAAAGATATATTAAATCTATAAA